AGCGAGGGGCGGATGGATCCATTCTGTGCTTGCTGCACCGCGCGGAACGTCCTGCGGGGCCTTGAGAGTGGGTCCTTACCTGGGAGTTAAGGCTACCAGCTCTTCCTGTCCCTCATCTGTTTTCATCAGTGATTCTTGAATCTGCACCGTCTGGGACGTTGTCACAAACGCAAATTCCCTGACTCCACTCCAGACCTACCGGATCAGAAATTCTGTGTGTGGGTCCAGACACCTGTATTTTAATAAGCCCTCCAGGTGATTCTGGTGCACCCTGAAATTCGAGACCCACGTGTGGTCCTCACAGCATCCTGTCAGCCACCGGGGAGGCCTCAGATGACCACTCCAATTGACAGAGGACACAACAAAAGCTTAAAGGAGGTTGAGTGTTGCTAAAGGCCACACGATTGTCCTGGAGGAGAGCTGTGCTAGGACCAGCTCTTCTGACATCCAGCCCAATTTCCTGTTCTCAGCAAACATTTATGGAGTGCCAACTCTGCACTGTTCTAAGTACTGGAGAAGCTGGGGGAAACAAAATAAAATCCCTGCCTCTCGAGCTGACAGTGGGAAAAGACAAGCTGTAAATAAGTAAGTAACTTGTATGTCTGTTGGTGATGAGTGCTACTAAAGCAATAAATAGAGCATAACATAAATCCAAGTAAATAGGATAGAGGATGGGATGTTATTTTATAATAGGGTGGGTAGAGAAGGTGTCAAGGAGAATGTGGCACTTGCACAGACCTGAAGAAATTGAAAAATGGAACCATACTGACATTTGGGGAGAGTATGATGCAAGCAGAGGGGAAAAATGTTCTAACAAGGGCAGTCCTGTTTGCAAATTGCTTTTGCTGCCTGCTCATCGTGATAGCATCAACATTCGGATATGGGGTAATTGGTTTGCATAGACTGTGAGCTGTGGTCCCAAAACCTAGAAGACGGCCAGGCATATAGTAGGTGCTCAGTACATGAGTGTTAAGGACTAAGTCTCATGTACATAGACTTGTAACACAGATCAAAACTTGATGAGGGCCTGAAGAAGGAATAAAAGTCATGGCATCGGAAGATCAGAGAAGACGGTAATACCCTTAGGATCTGGGCCAGCAGGGCTGGAAGAAAGTCTTCTAAGCACGATGTAAAGATGAGGAGAGATCTCCAAAGTACACAGGACTCAGATTGCCATGGGCTTCAGGGCCGGGATGGAGACTGGGATTTATTCTGTGAGTAATGGGGAGGCATGGAAAGTGACCAGGTGAGTTACAGGGCTAGAGCTAATCACTTAGGCCCAGTGTCTGAGGTGGTACACTCTCACTCGCTTCTAGATTTGGCCCCATTCACAACAGAGGTGAGGATAACTTCCTTTTGAAGGTCTGGTGAAGACATTTGTTTCTGTGGAAATCCTGAAAAATTGTACCCTTTTCTTATCCTATTTATCCGGGTACCTTTTTACTAACTAGTTGTTTCATTATAAAAGTAATATGCGTGATAAAAAATAAATGCCAACAGTACAAAAGGACATGAAAGTAAAAGCCCCTTTCCCTCTTCTCCCACTGTCCTGGTCCTACCATAGGTAGGTAACCAATATTCACATTTGTTTTATCTTTCCAAAGATATTTCACACATATACAAACATGCAATATGTACATGTAGGCATTGATCAACCTTCTTGATTGCAAACTGTAGAAATTGAACCTCTAGATAGAAAGTAGAAAGAGGGTTTAATACAAAGTTCTTTTTGTAGTCACAGATCCTACAAGGGCCAAAAAACCAATCTTGGAGGCCCGACAACCAAGAACAATGCCCCAGATCATTCCATGGCTGCACCCTATACCAGGATGGAGTCTAAACAGGCCTTTTTTTTTTTTTTTTTTTTAAGTTGTTTGTTTATTTATTTTGAGAGAGAGAATCCCAGGCACACTCTGTGCTGACAGCTTGGGGCTCGATCCCACAAACCGTGAGATCGTGACCTGAGCTAAAATCGAGTCAGACACTCAACCAACTGAGCCACCCGGGGGCCCTGACACAGGCCCCTTTTTGTATTACCAGCTTGAGAGCCAAAGCCTGAGATGAGAGCATGTAAATGGCTCAGCCTGGGTCACATGTTTTGCCTGGCAAAAAGGGAGGCTGGGAAAGTGCCTTTCTGGCACTTTCAGTATGTATAGCAGGGGGTAGGCTCCAGTATACGTGCTCTAGAAGGTAGGAGACTCTCCAGAATAGGGAGGGGGGGTTTAGATACTGGGAAGCCAAAAAACATAACAAATACCAACTACAGATATTCCCTCTAAGCGAATCCCTGCTGCTTACACCTGCTCTGTGTCTCCTACTCCGGGAAGAAATGCCCCCTTTTTCTTAGGGATCCTCCCTCTCCACTCTCAGTATGTATGATTCAGTGGTTAGCATAAGTCCAAGTCTGTCCTGATTGCTTTGGCCCAGGATTTTTTGCTAAAGCAGTTGGGAACAAGGCCCTCTGTGCTGAGGTGGTCAGCTGTCAGGATGTCCAGATGTTGTGAGCCGAACAGGTACTTTCTCCGCCACCACTTGAAGACCACCTGCCTAAGCGTGAAGATACCACACAGGAAAGCAGAGATGAGTGATAGAAAGAGATGGGGTCAGAAAATCCTCACCACCCCCCTTCATGCTTTTGTTAGGTTTGTTTTGAGCAGGGGTGTCCTCACCTGCAATCCCAGCCTTAACAAATGTAGATTTTACGTTTTGAATGAATGAGTTAATACAGTGCAGGCTATTCCGAATCTTGCTTTTAAAAATTTTAACAAATGCTTGGGCATCTTTTCATGCAGGTGACTAGATCTCCTGAATCCTTTTTAGTGGTAGCATGTAACACCATTAAGCAGATGTGCCATAATTTATTTAATCAGTTTTTAATGATTCACAATTAGCTTGTTTCCAGTGTTTTGCTATTATAAAAAAAAAAATCTTGCGTGGAACAGTGGTTATAGCAGTCAGGGGCCCAGCAGGAGACAGATGGCACACTTGGCTGAAGAAATGAGGAACATTTACTAAAGGGCTAATTATAGAACTCTGGGCAGGGTTTACTAAGAGCCACAAGAGCTGGTGCAGTACTCCAGAGCTGGTAACAACAGGGAGCCATTGTCACCCCAGGCCTGAAGGGGGAAGGGAGAGAGCAGTCACTGGAATTCTGCAAGAGAGAAAATGGAGAGATCTAGTTGATAGGAGTTAGGACCATTGGTAGAGGGACAGGGCCAGCCTAGTAGGGAGCAATCCCCGGAGGAATAAAATCCTCTGACCTCACCCTTCTTCTGTCCTCTAGTACTAAACCCAACTGTTAGCCAGACATTCAAGCCTGCTGCTATGGTCCTGACAGTCATCCTCCCAGGGATCAGGGCAAGGTTCTCTGGAAGGATGATCTGAGCAGCGTAGCTCCATCACCAACACAGACCTCATCCAGCCAACATTATTGAGCGCCTTCTGTGTGCCCGGCATTATGTGTATGATGGCATGTTATAGATGATAGGGCCGGCCCCTGGATCCCAGGGGATCCCACATGATTGCAGAGAGGGTGGTCTATGAGCTTCATTGTCAGTTCAGAGGTAGGTATCACAGTCTGGTTGTATCACTGACAGCTTCATGGGAGAGCTTGGCCCCAAGTTGAGCAGAAAGACTGGGGGATATCCTGGTAGTGGAAGGAAAAGAGAGGGCACAGAGTGGAAAGAGGGAGCAGGGGGATTGGATTCCAGACACTGGTGCAGTAGATTAGAAAGGAGGTAAAGAGGGCCAGCAAGTAGAATCATCTCTGGAGGGTACTTGTTGGGGCCTGGGTGGCTCAGTTGGTTAAGTGTCCAACTTCGGCTCAGGTCATGATCTCATGGTTTGTGAGTTTGAGTCCCACATCGGGTTCTGCGCTGACAGTGCAGAGCCTGGTTGGGATTCTCTCTTTCTCTCTCTGCCTGTGCCCCATTCTCACTCGTCCTCTCTTTCTGTCTCTCTCTCTCTCTCAAATAAATAAACATTAAAAAAAATAAAACGTACTCTTTTAAATGTCTAACCTGTTTTCCCTAATATGATAATAATGTTTGTTGAAAAGAATTCCAGTGTTGTGCAAACATAGAATGTGAGTTCCTTTGAGATCAATGATAGGTAGGTGGTAGGTAATCAATAAGTATTTGTTGAAAAACATGAATAAATTGAGTGAAAAGTAAAGGCCCACAGAATCTCACTCACCAGAAATAAATATAATAGTTAATAGTTTGGTGGATATTTTCTTAAGAGTTTTTTTCTTTGTGTATGTTAACAAATTTTACCAAAATAGGATTATACTGTCTATATAGCTCTACAACTTGCTTTTCTTGACTTAATGATGCATCTTAAGCACATTTGTATGTTAAACACCTAGAATTAGTGTCACTCTTGTTAATGATACTGTGGTATGTTAGTGTATGAATGTACAATACTTTATAATCTCCTATTAGTGGACATTTAGGTTATTAACAGCTTTCTGCTTTTATACACAATATTGCAGTAGGCTTCCTTTTCTTAGCACATCTCTTGAGGACTTATGAATCTATTTCTGTTGATGTGACATTGAAAAATCAAAAGGATATGAGAATTAATATTTCTAATAAATGTTGCCTGATTGCTTTCCAAAAGGTTATGCCAGTTTGCATTCTTACCAACAGTGGATAATAGTACCTGTTTATTCACATCCTTGCCAATGCTGGAATTAATAACCTTTTAAATCTTTGCTAATCTGAGAGGTGAAGAAATAATTCAGAGTAAGTTTAATTTGCATGCATTTTAAATAGAGAAATTGAACACATTTTGATATGGTGTATAGATCATTTGTATTTCTTTATTGGGGGAATGGTCTATTCAAATCTTTCAGCCATTTTCATTTCTGTTCTTTTATTTCCCTGTTGATTCACATACCGGGTAAATGTCATCTGCAAATATCTCTTTCTGATTTGTCTTTTGACTTTTGAGTTTATATTATTTTGGACCTTACTGAATATTAAAAATTTTATGTGGTCAACTTTATAAATCTTTTCTATAATGGTCTCTCGGCTCTTTCATCCAATACTTTTATTGCTGGATTTTTATTATCAATTTTTACTTTTACATCTTTACATCATTTGGCATTTATTTTGGTATAAGGTGTGAGTTTGGGATTCAACTTTATTTTTTTCCGAATGGCTATCAAGTTGCCTCAGTCATTGACTGAGTCAGCCATCTTTTTTCCACTAATGTTTGAAATTCCACATCTACCATACACCAAGTTAAACTCTCAAAGGGGTGTAATGACCCCTACGAAGGGAGTTAATACAACAAATTGAAAGTGCCTTCTAGAGAGATCTGTTTGTTGGTTGAACAGCTGATGAAACGAAATGGTGTGGTCAAAGAACAAATAAGCTCCCCAAACAACAAACAACAAACCCAAGGAAAGAACAAGGTACTCAATTTGGGAAGTGGTGCAAAAAGAATTAAGGTCCCAGCTGGATTTGCTCTCTATGGGTGCACCATCAGTAACATTTGTAAAGGGCTTACTCTGGGCAGGGGCCATTCCTACTGCTTTATCTCTGCTAACAGGCTGTTGTATTTCTGATAGCTCCCAGGTGGTACCAATGCTGCTGGTCTGAGTAGCACACTTCGAGTAGCAAGGTGCTGGACACCTTCCATTTGCCCTTGCAGAAACTCTTCCCACCCTGCTTTGAGCCTGGGGTGGCTGTGTGGACTATATCACTCGATCCTCCCAAAAACCCCACTTAGGAGGTACTATTATAATCATCACCATTTTATAGATGAGCAAATTGAGTCAGGAGAGGTTAAGTAACTTGCCTAAGGCCACCCAGCAGTCTGTGATGGGGCTGAGGTGTGAGCTCAGGCAAGTGGACTCCAAGGTTGTGCTCGTACGCATTAAACTAAGCTGCCTTTTGGCCTCACAGCAGTCTGCCAGTGAATTGTGTGGTGGGAAATCCGGAATTAGGAGTCAAGACACCTGGACTCAGACCGTCGCTCTACACTTTCATGTCATTTGACTCTGAATAGATCACCTCGCCTCTCTCTGAGCCTTAAATTTCCTCATCTGTCTACCTTGCAATGTTGTCATGAGAGTGGAAGGAGATGGTACATGAAAAATAAAGTCTAGTAGTTCATGGCACATATAAATGCTCAATAAATGACAGCCCTTACCATTATCTGGGGCTTGAACCCATGTTTTGTAGAGCCATCCTTCTTTTCTCGGCAGCTGAGCCTGTATCAGGAAGCATTCCAATCTGGTAAACTGATCTGAGACAGTATGAGTTGTAATCCGTGTCTGTTTTCTAATCTGACCGCAGATCTTAATTGTGTTGAACATCCAGACAGAGGCCAAAAGGCACAGCTCCAGGCCTTTCTCTCACACCTGCCTTCTAGCACCAACCAGCAGACTGTTCTGTGGGTGGAGTCACCTCCCACCAGTCTGGTGTCTCAGCAGGTTGTCTTGTGTGGGAGCTGCTTGGCATGGTTCACTCCAAACCCATCCCCCTCCTGGAGTCCCGGGGGAGATGTTCATGGAAGGCCCCTTTCCTCCAGGGAGGCTGTGAGTCAACAAGGATGGAAGGTTAAATTCTACCTGTATCGGAGACACCAACTTGTTCGAGGCCCTTTCCGTACTCTGTGCCTCAGGCTCCCCATCTTTAAAGTGAGAGAATCAGGCCACATTTATGCCTCTTAACTTTTTTGGTTGTGGTCCCCTTGACAATAGAGAATATTTGATAAAAAAAAAAAACTTTGGACCAGCTTCCCAGATGTTAAAAAAAAAAAAAATACAGCTTACTCACTCTGTCCTTCTATGGGAGATACGAAACTATTCATTTCCCCAAATTTCCCTCCCAGCAGAGGGAGCTCCACATTAACCTAAAATATGGTTTCAAATCTCTGATATCACTTTTACCATTCAGGTATCCATGTAAACATTACTTCCTCAGAGAAGCCTTCCTAAAACCCTCAACTAAACCAGGTTTTAGCGCCCTGTAATTCTTCAAAACACTTAACCACAACTCTAGTAAGATACCTGCTTTTTAAATTTTTTTTTATTTTTAATTTTTTTCTTCTTAACGCCTATTCATTATTGAGAGACAGAGAGAGACAGAGCATGAACATGGGAGGAGCAGAGAGAGGAGGAGACACAGACTCCGAAGCAGGCTCCAGGCTCTGAGCTGTCAGCACAGAGCCTTGCATGGGGCTCAAACCCACGAACTGTGAGATCATGACCTGAGCCAAAGTCGGATGCTTAACCGACTGAGCCACCCAGGCACCCCATAAGATACCTTTTTAATATTTGCACTCTATTCCATTGCACTCTAAGCACCATGATGTTGAAAATATGCCTTGTGGCAAAGAGTTTCTCCTTGATCAAACCCTAGCCAGGCTCCTCTGAGCCCACTTCTCAACCAAGCCTTAACTTTGGCCTATGAAGGTGATGGACTGAAGACAGATAATTTTATAAATCTACCTCCCTTCATATTAAAAATGTAAACATTAACAGAGTTTTTAACAGCTCAAGGCTGCACTCTCAAGATGACCCTAGCACCCCCCTGCTTAAGTATCTGCCTCAGAAAACTCAAGGCTGTCCAAAGAATTTACTATTTGTCATAGCTGATACCTGTCAGTCCCTGACCACCCTTTCTTAGAGAACTTACTAAGAAGGGCTTGCAGTTTAAAAAAATTTTTTTTTCAACGTTTATTTATTTTGGGGACAGAGAGAGACAGAGCATGAACGGGGGAGGGGCAGAGAGAGAGGGAGACACAGAATCGGAAACAGGCTCCAGGCTCTGAGCCATCAGCCCAGAGCCTGACGCGGGGCTCGAACTCACAGACCGCGAGATCGTGACCTGGCTGAAGTCGGACGCTTAACCGACTGCGCCACCCAGGCGATGGCTTGCAGTTTTAAATCCTTTCTCTGTCCCTGTGAGATGTATGTGTATCTCCTACAATTCAAGAGTGTCTTTCTCAAGGACTGAAAGCCATTCCTTTACAATGTAATCAGGAAGGATAGGGCCTCTGTCTCTGTGTGAGAATAGAATCCTAACTTTGATATTTGCCAGCCACAGACACAGCTGGCATCATCAGCATTTATGCTGATTACTCCTTTGTCATTTTTCACTTCCCTGACCCTATTTAAAATGCCCAGTCATTCTGTGCAAATCAAAGTTGAATCCATTCATGCTGGGCCCTCTTCCCTATTGGGATAACATGCTACTGCTTAAAATCTGTCATTACCGCTTTAAGTAGTGTCTAGTTTTGTTTCTCTTTGACACTTGATCGTTACAGCATGCCTGGACTCTAGCATGGTGCCTGGCACTATAGTAGATTCTCAATAAATGTTTTCCTGAATTAAAAAACTTGGCTAAAACCAGCCATTTGTTCTAGTTATCTATCGCCGAGTAACAAACCATCCCCAAACTTAATGGTGTGAAACAACAACCGTCTTATTGTGCTCCTGGATTCTGTGGGTCAAGAATTTGAAAAGGGCACCGCTCTTCTCCATTCTGTGACATCTGGGGCCACAGATGAAGTGACCTGAATGGTTAGCATCCTGGAACCACTTCCAAGATGGCTTCTTCACTCACCTGCCTTATGCCTGGGCTGTCTGGGCCAGCGGAAGTTTGGGTGCAGCCGGCACTGTTGGCTAGATTGTCCACCTGGGGCTTCTCCAGCATGACAACACCAAGATAGGGATTTCTTCCCTGGCAGCTCAAGCTGCACGAACAGCGACCCTATGAACAAGGTGGAAGCTTCACAGCTGGCTTCTTGCTCCTAGCCAGTGAAGTCAAGGAGCTTCACTTCTACCATAATCTAATTGTTGAAGCAGTTACAAGTCTTCCCTGATTCAAGGCAAGGGAGTGTTGAATAATTTGCAGCCTTGTTTTAAAACCACCACACTATCAGAGCCAGATGTGGGAGGAATTCTTGTGCAATTAATTCTGTTATCACTCAGGATTAGATTTGGCTGCATAGGACAAAACACACACACACACACACACACACACACACACATAGAAACAGTGGCATAAACAATATAGAAGTTGATTTCTCCCTCACATAAGCAAAGCCTGGAAGGAGGTTGTCAGGACTGGTTCAGTGTTCACAGTGTTAGGGTTCCTTCTGCCATGTTGTTTAACCACTCTGAGTGGTTTTACCACATGACTCGAGGTGGTTGCTTGAGCTCTGGTCTTCATAGCCACAATCCAGCGAGCAGGAAGAAGCAAGGGTAAGGGAGTTTCATTTAGGGAGATTACTCAGAAGCGCCATCTGACAATACCACTTATCGCCCATTGGCTACACTCTCAGTCATATGGCCATGCCTGGCTGCAAAGGAGGCTGGGAATTCTAGTCTTTATTTTGGAAGACCATGGGCCCAGAGAAACAAGCAAACGACTCAGGGGGGTTCCATTGTTCAGAAAGGAGAGGAGAATGCATATTGGCAGACATCCACAGGTTTCTGCCACACCTTTTTAGTCCATTTTATTTCCTGTTCTGCCACTGACCTTCTGTGGGCTTGGACAACACACTTTCTGTGGTGTTGTTACCAGTTCGTCTGGTAATTAGGGAGGAGGGTGCTGTAGTCTCAGAAGGCAGCTCAAAGCATTCGACAGATAAAAGTGTCAATGCTCTGGTTTTAGGGAAGAGAACTGGAGCCTCAGTCAGCCTCTTTTTCCTTTCCTGAGTGGTCTCCCAGGGTTTCTGGGAGCCAGATTTTTGAAAACTCCCCTATTAGGAGTTTTCAAGGACACTGAGGCCCTTCCAGGAACAAGGCCTGAAGAATTCGTGTTTGTCACATTATGGGAGTAACTCCTCCCTGCACTTAACCAGGTTATACCTTCCATTAGACACCTCCCCAGCAAGTTCAAAGAGATGCCTACAGAAGTGAGTGTGAGATACAAAGCCAGCCATTAACTGAGCACTTTCTGTGTGTCTGACTCTATGCCAAGTTCTGCCATCATGAAGTGACCACAGCTCATACTCTAAGTCCCTTACATTCTTTTTGTTACAAGGCTGGGGTAAATTAAACACGACCCAATGTACTAAGCATTGTAACAAAGTATGAGGGTGTTAACAGATTGAATCGAGTCCCTCAACAAGATATGTTGAAGTCCTAATCCTTGGTACCTATGAATATGACCTTATTTGGTCCTGACAGACATAATCAAGATGAGGTCATCAGAGTGAGCCCAGATCCGATGTGACTGGTGCCCTTAGAAGAAGAGTAGAAGAGACAGAGACAGACACACATCAGAAGAATGACAATGGAGGCAGAGGTTGAAGCAATGCATCGATCAGCCAAGCAATGCCAAGGATTTCAAGCAACACCAGAAACTAAGAGAAATGTATGGAATGGGTTCTCCCTAGAGTGTTCAGAGAAAGCATGGCCTTGCTGATGGGACTAATTGATTTTGGGCTTCTAGCCTCCAGAATGGAGAGGGAATACATTTCTGTTGTTTTCAGCCACCCAGATTGTGGTACTTTGTTATGGCAGCCCTAGGAAACTAATAGAGATGGTCAATTTGATGTGTCAGCTTAGTTGGGTTTTAATCCCAAGTTATTCACTCAAACACTAAATTAGAAGTTGCCATGAAAATATTTTGTAAATATAATTAACGTCTACAATCAGTTGACTTTAACTAATGGAGATTATGTAGGTGGGCCTGATTCAATCAGTTGAAAGGCCTTAAGAGCAGAACTGAGGTTGCCTTGCAAAAGAAGAAATTCTGCCTGTGGACTGCAGCTTCAGCTCATGTCAGAGAGTTTCAACCTTCCCTCCTGATGGCCTGCCCTACAGATTTGGGACTTGCTTAACCAGCCCCTGCAGTTGTGTAAGCCAATTCCTTGCAATAAATCTCTTACTATATCCCCTCCTGGTTCTGTTTCTCTGGTGGAACCCTGACTAATAACAAAAGGGTGATGCAATCATGAAACGCATTTGTCTAAAAGGCTGTGGAGTTGCTGGAGGCTTCACAGAAAACGTGGCTTTTGGCAGGGCCTTGAAATGTAGATAGGAGTTTGCCAGGTGGGGAAGGGCATTTCAAGCTGGGACAACAGCATGTGTTACAAAGGTGTGGGATGGTGGAGTGCCTGGGTGGCTCAGTAGGTTGAGCCTCCAACTTCGGCTCAGGTCATGATCTGGCGATCTGAGTTCAAGCCCTGTGTTGGGCTCTGTGCTGACAGCTCGGAGCCTGGAGCCTGGAGCCTGCTTCAGATTCCTGTGTCTCCCTCTCTCTCTGCCCCTCCCCCGCTCACGCTCTGTTTCTCTCTCTCTCTCTCTCTCTCTCTCTGTCAAAAATAAATAAATATTAAAAAAAAATTTACAAAGGTGTGGAATGGTGAAGGCCCTCTCCCTCAGTGGCATGGAGACAGGCCTTGCATTTCAGCATTTGTACTGGAGGCCAGGGGTATTCCTATTTTTTATTCCTCTTAGTTCTTTTTATTTATTTTTTATGTTTTTAATTGAGATAGAACTTTCATAAGTCAAATGCATATTTATGACTTTTGTAATTTTTTATTTTAGAGAGAGCACGAGCTGGGGAGAGGGGCAGAGGAGGGAGAGAGAGAGAACCTCAAGCAGACTCCACGCTTAGTGTGGAGCCCAGGGCTCCATCCCACGCCTCTGGGATCATGACCTAAGCCTAAATCAAGAGTCAGAGGCTCAAAGGACTGAGCCACCCACGTGCCCAGATGACTTTGGGGCATGTGTATGTGTATATATATATATATATATATATATATATATAGCATATGTATATATTGCATATATATATATTTCATATGTATATATATATCTCCATGTAATCACCACCAAAATCTAGCCATGAATCAGGGCAGGGATTAGGGTGAGTGAGGCCTGTGAGGTGAGCTGTGCAAACACAGGGTCAGGTTCTGTCTGCTTTATTTAAAATTTTGATGTTTTGTTCATCGTGGATTTTTTGCTTTCATTTTGATTTTCAAAAGTATTTTTTATTTTTGATTGCTGATTCTTTTTGGCCCAACCTATAATTTCTTGCCTTGGAGAGAGCCAAGACTCACTCTAGTCTTGACCCTGTTAAATATTTTCAGCACCCAAGTGGCTCCTTCATTTCTTCAATCCCCTCAAAGGAAACCTCTGGCCAAGGTCAGGGGGTATTTAACAGGAACAGATGACCTGGGATGTGTGCGATCATATTATGGGTGCCTATGCATGTGTTTCTCTGAGGGGGTTCATTCCTTTGATCAGTTTCTTGGAGGCCTTTGTAAAGTTAGGGATAAAACAAAGATAGACTAACAGGGAACCAGGGGAAAGTTTGCTATTCACCGAATCTAAACAGTATTATGTCTTTGGTTGGGCCTGCAGGCCTCAGTGACACAGAATCACTGTGCCTTAGTCCCATCATCTGTCAAATGGAGTTGATAATCCTACTACCCCTGTGACTGGACTGCGTAAGGGCCAGATGAGATAAGGGCAGTAAAATTCGTAGCACCCTGCAGAGTGCATTCAGCCAACATTTACTGAGCGCTTATGAAGTGCTAGGTGCTGAGCTGAGGGTTTTACGACCGCCACCTTTTTCCTAATGCTTACAGCACAACGAGGAAGGTGGTGTGAGTCTAGGCCTGTCCGCGGGGGGGACAGAGTGAAGACCAGCCACCCTCCACCGCGCGGGATGGGGTGAAAGGGGGCGGC